TTTTTCAGGTCTGGCCAGTATAGGAGAGGGAGAAATCGACTAGTTAAGGCAATATTCTCAAACAAGAAAATATAAGAATATTCTAGTGAAGAGGGTTACCTGGTTGATACCTGGTTGATGGGGTTCTGGGAGTTCTACCCCCCAAGCCCGGCCCGAGGCCAGGCTCGACTTGTGAGAGTTTGATCCACCAGGCTGTTGCTTGGAGCGGCCCGCAGGCCCACATACCCACCACAGCCCGGCTGATCTGGAACTTCTCTTAGAAAACAGTCCAGTTTTCTCTTGAAGATGTCCACGGTTGTTCCGGCAATATTTATTATAGTCGCTGGGAGGACGTTTAACAACCGCTGACCTCTGATGTTTATACAGTGTTCTCTGATTGTGCCTATGGCACCTCTGTTCTTCACTGGTTCTATTCTGCACTTTCTTCCATATCGTTCACTCCAGTATGTTGTTATTTTACTGTGTAGATTTGGGACCTGTCCCCTCAGTATTTTCCACGTGTATATTATTTGGTATCTCTCGTCTCCTTTCTAGAGAGTACATTTGGAGAGTTTTGAGATGATCCCAATAACTTAGGTGTTTTATTTCGTCTATGCGTGCCGTATATGTTCTCTGTATTCCCTCTATTTCAGCAATCTCTCCTGCTCTGAAGTGGGAAGTGAGTACTGAGCAGTACTCAAGACGGGACAGCTCAAGTGACTTGAAGAGTACAACCATTGTGATGGGATCCCTGGATTTGAAAGTCCTCTTAATCCATCCTATCATTTTCCTAGCTGACGCAATATTTGCTTGGTTATGCTGCCTAAACGTTAGATCGTCGGACATCATTATTCCCAAATCCTTTACATGCTGTTTTCCTACTATGGGCAGATTCGATTGCGTTTTGTACCCTGTATTATGTTTCAGATCCTCCTTTTTGCCGTACCTGAGTACCTGAAATTTATCACTGTCAAAGATCATGTTATTTTCTGCTGCCCAATAGAAAACTTTGTTGATATCTGCTTGTAATTTTTCATTGTTTTCAGCAGAAGTAATTTTCATGCTGATTTTTGTGTCATCTGCAAAGGATGACACGAATCTGTGACGTATTTTTTTCTATATCTGATATGAGAATAAGGAACAGTAGCGGTGTAAGGACTGTACCTTGAGGTACGGAACTTTTAACTGCGCTTGGACTCGATTTTATTTGATTGACTGTTACTCTTTATGTTCTGTTCGACAGGAAATTGAGTATCCAGCGTCCAATTTTACCAGTTATTCCCATTGACCTCATTTTGTGTACTATCACCCCATGGTCACATTCGTCGAACGCCTTTGCAAAGTCTGTGAATCCAACATCTGCATTTTGCTTTTCTTCTAGAGCTTCTAGGATTTTGTCATAATGGTTGAGTAACTGTGACAGACAGGATCTGCCCACACTAAATCCATGCTGTCCTGGATTGTGTAGCTCATTATTTTCCATAAAACTAGAAACTTGATTCCAAATTACTCTTTCAAACACTTTTATTATGTGTGATGTTAGTGCAACTGGTCTATAATTTTTTTCCAAGGCTTTACTACCCCCCTTGTGCAGAGGAGCTATATCTGCAGATATAAGTGCTGCTGGTATCTCCCCTGTATCCAGGCTCTTTCTCCATATTATGCTGAGTGCTCGCGCTATTGGTACTTTACATTTCTTTATGAATATTGAATTCCATGAGTCAGGCCCATGAGCTAAGTGCATGGGCATATTGTCAATTTCTCTTTCAAAGTCTTCAGAGTTTGTGTTAATATCCGTTATATTATCTGCAGCTTGAATGTCATTCATAAAGAAGCTGTCTGGGTCATAAACTTTCATGTTGTTTATTGGTGTGCTAATACTGGATTCTTAGAATTTCACTAATCTCTTAGTTGTCCTCTGTGTATGTACCTTCATTTGTAATTAACAGTCTAATACTGGTCGAGGTTTTTTATTTTGATTTTGCGTATGTGAAAAATATTTTGGATTTTTCTTTATCTCTTGTATAGCGTTCTGTTCCAATTCCATTTCCTCAGACTCATATGATCACTTCAACGTTTGTTCTATTTCTTCGATCTCCCTGCTTAGGTTTATTTTTCTTTCTTCTGATAGCTGTGTCTGCCGAAGCATTTCCGTTATTTTATTCCTTCTCCTGTACAGTCGTGTGCGTTCTCTTTCTAGAGTGGTCCTCTTTCTGACCCTCCTCACAGGCACGTGCTTCAAGCAGACCTTGTAAGCTTCAGCTGTCAGTTACGCAATTCCCTGTGTGAGAGTTTTGTCGCTTAAGACCGTCTCCCATTGAATGGTTGCAAGGTCTACATTTCTATTTTCCCAGTCGATCCTCTTATTGTTGAAAAAGGGTAAAATTCTTACATTCACCAAGAAGCCTTTATCCTGAGGGTTACGACAAGTGATGAAAGAGCCGAAGCTGCATACAAAGGCAGATGCAGGGAAAGGGTTGGGGAATGGGAAACCCACATCACCCAGCACGATAAACCCAGCATCAGTCTCTCTCTTCCAGTACCGTAACCTCACCCTCAAGTTCCCCAAGCAGTAGTAAGTCATACCCAATTCACCATCCCACAACTCCTATCCAAACTTCTTCAACCCCCTCACTCTATGAACAAAACACATTCAGAAGCCATCCATGCCAGGGAAACCGATAATGATGGAGCTTGAAGATGAGAATGTAAATAAAGAAGGTTGCAAAATCATATACTCCAATATTGATGGAATTCCATAGCGAATAAACTCAAAGAACACACAATTGAGAATAACCTGAGTGTAAAAGCACTCAAATAAATAAATCTGTCATGAGTCATAACTAATGCAGTTTTCCACAAGATTAACTTGTTGTAAGGATGGAAGGGGAAGGCAGAGGAGGAGTTGCCCTGTTGATCGTGTAGGACTTGACTTATAAAGAGCTGCCATCTGAGGACACAGCCCCGCCTCTAAACGTGGAGGATGGAACTGTTGCAATCAGCCATCAGGAGAAGACTGATCTACTGACATCTTGGCAAATTTTGTTGCCAAGATGCAAGTCCCTGATCCTGAACGTCAGCCTCCACATCTTGCTCCAAGCACTGTGTCCAGGATGACTGAAGTGGGTATAAAGAAGGCTGAAGTTCTCCATCTCCTTAACACACTAGACACCACCAAAGCTGTGCGGCCAGATAAGGTCAGTCTAAGACTACTTCGCAGCTGCACTGACCTGCTGGCTCCACCTCTCACGTGCCTCTTCCAACTTTGCCTGGCTCAAGGACTGTGGCCCTCCTTATGGAAGAAGTCAGATTTTGTTCCAGTACACAAAAGGAAGAGCCGCTCAGTGGTAGGTAACTACAGACCAGCGTCACTGCTCTCCATTACTGGTAAAATCCTAGAATCACTAATTGCTCAGTAAATGATAAAATTTGGTGATAATCATTGGCTAATATGTGATCAACAGAATGGTTTAGAAAAGGTCGATCTGCTGCTGATATCTTGCTATATCTCTCCAATAAATGGCATCAGTCACTGGAAGAGTCCAAGATCAGCTGTGTTGTTGCTCTAAACATAGCAGAAGCATTTAATCGGGTCTGGCACTCTGGTTAGTAGTGAAATTTCAAGCACTAGGTATCTCAGGCTCCATGTTAACGTTTGTAAAAGACTACCTTCAAGAACGGATTCTACGGGTAGTTCTCAATAGAGGACTATTGATCCGAGATAGCCACTCAATTGGTGCCAGCGTTTCACAGGGTAGTGTGTTTGGCCCACTGCTGTGGAATATCTATTTCAACGATCTACTTCATCTCGTTCCTGAAGCTCACTCCAATGCTGATGACTGCACTCTAACCTTCACATACAATAAGGAAGAAATGCCAACTGCTGAAAAATTCACCAATCACAAACTTTCAGCGATTTCTACCTGGGGTAAGAGATGGCAGGTCACATTTGCGGCTGAAAAGGCACAAGCGATGAAGAAAACTAGACTGCATCTGGCGAATCGGACCGGCTTGCAAATTGGTGACAAAATCCTAGAGTTTCTAGATGAAATTGACATCTTGGGAATGAAGTTCGACTTTTCAATGACAATGAAGAGCCACGTCCTTAACCTAGCTCAAAAGGCAGCCAGTAAACTTAAATCCCTACGGTGCATCTCACACTTTCTTGACAGCAAGGGCTACAAAACCTTATGTTAAGCAGAAGTTCACTCTCATCTAGAGTATGCTCTACTTTTTGGATCGCCTGCCCCCCCATCATTCATCAGACTTTTGGACAAAGTGGAGAAACATGCAAGGAAGGTTCATCCCTAGTCTTGACCAAGTCTGGTGGGACCGGTCCGAACATCAGAGCCTGTAACATCATCGTGGCTACATCCTCAAAGTTCCTCACCTGGCTCAACTCCGTGGACAACCAGTAATTGGCTCCCGTAATAATAGGCTCTCAACGTTTAACAGTCTCACGCTGGAAGTGTCAAGAACATCACCCCATCAGCGACCATTCATTCCTAGGCTGACTCGCATCTGGAACTTGTTCATTCAACAGGTTGATACATGGGAGATTTGTTCAACTGATCACATGAAGGCTCTGGCACACAGATTGCTTCAGGCTCATCCCGTTCCTTATACGATTTAGGAATAAAGTTATTAGAACTGTTGCATATAATAGGCTCCTGAAATAAATGGGTCTCTAAGAGTAGGTTTCAAGTTTGCTGAGGTAGGATTACAACTATTGCTTGCAGTTTCACCAGGTTCCGTATATGATAGTTCCATATGTGATAGTTTCTAAGTACATTCTCATGAAATAAATGAGTTTCTAGAGTAGGCTTCAGATGAGCTGAGGTAGGATAACAGCTCTTGATTGCAGCTTTACTAGGTACGTCAATTGACAGCCCTTATGCACCCTGATCCTATATAAAAAAAATCTCACCCTGCACTTCACACTATTCATACTGGACAGGACTCCTCGTCAAAACTACCAGCTGCCTGGTCAAAAACTACATCAACAACGACCTCTCTCTTACCTGTCTTTATTGGGGACTTGAGGCTTGTGTTTGATCATGTTGTACTTGACGAAGGGTGGCGGGTACCTCCACACCGCCATGTTAGCCTGAGCGATACGTTTCCACATGTCGTCGTCCTCTCCTCCCCAGCCCCAGTACATGTTGCTCCAACCATTGACCCTCAGCACCTGGGCCTCCGTCATCACACACGCACCACCGTAGTATGTGGAGTACGGGATACTGTGGGAGGAGTTGCAAGTTCTCAGTCGTCACACTGTAACACCTCTACCTTGCTACTCCCCTTCCCACACTTAAAACCTCCAGCTATACACTGCTTGAAGGCTCACTATGACCCCTCACTTTACTCCCAGCTAATATTAATCTGAAATATTAAATGGGGAAGCAACAAAATCAAGGGTTATGATTTTTTTATAATCAATAAGAACTTAAACCTACACTGCCACCACCTTCTTGAACCTGAAACCTGAATGTGTCTGTATTACTGGTCTCCCAGGAAATACAGAAAGCAATAATCATGAACTCGTGGGCGTAGGAATCTTGACAATAAATAATGCTTAGGAATTAATTACAGAAAACTTTACTTTACTAATTTAGATTCAAGGGCAACTTAAATATCCATTAAATGGAGGCGAACACAGGGGATTTCCAGTACAGCACGTAACCATGTCATAAAATGACTCAGAATTAATAAAACTGGTGGGACAGACATCTAAAAAGCAAAAATACATTAATAATCACTTTTGTAAATAAAAGACACGTTTATTTATATCAAAATTGAAATATATCCTACTTTAAATACATCCCTAAGAGGCAATAACCAGAGTGCAATTACTTTGACGTACCAAAACTCAGACACACATTACCTTAGTCCTGCAATTACCGGCCACAGATGTTGAATGACTGCCCTCCACGTCCCCCGGACCTGTTTCCAAGTCACACACCAGACACACTAACTAAAATTTCCTTTACAAGCTAACCAGTGGAGGAAAGCTCCACCCACTAATTCTCTGAGCCCAATAGCCCCCTCGGCATCTCAAAGTCGGGAGCCAATGAATTCAAAATTCCAGCTCTAGGTCTTGGTCCAGCCAATCAGTGCCAGAACCTAGTCCCGCCCCCATGGCCTCTCTGGCTTCCACCAATCAAGCTGCAGGCTAGGCTCTAGGCATGTTCTGAAGGATCTGTTTCCCTTGAAAGAATCCTCGTGTTCCAATGATTACATCCCAGGAAACCCGGAGCAGTGTCTGTATATGGCTCGGTTGAGATTATTGCCCCTCAATTTGTCAATGGCTATAGAGCAGACAGAGAGACAGACAGGAAACGATTGGGAGAAGAGGATTGGGAAGGAGGATTAAGGCAGGAGGGGACGAGTGGCCTGCAACGGTCTCACTTCCCTAAGGAAACTTGACTCCAGCAGTTTTATGACCGGTGAGGCCGGCTCGACAAAAGGGGAGGGAAAGGGGAAGGAGAGATGAGACAACGGGAGGAGGGGGGCGAATGAACAAGGAAGGGGGGAGACGACCAAGGGGAAGGGGAGAAGCCTGGGCCGGATTCAGGAAGGTACTTACGACGATTTTTCCTCTTAGCTAAGAACGTTTTCCCTCTTAGCGCCTTCGTGGCGGCTACGTCCGTATTTAAGTAGCTACACTAAGTGGAAAAACCTTCGTAAGTTCATTCCGGGATTTAAGTGTGATTTCGACCACTCGTAGCTTTACGTAAACTGGATATGTCATTTTTTCTCTACTACATAACACTGGGATCAATTTATGATATTGGAACATGACCAAAATATTATAGCTGGTGAATCTAGTGAAGAGGAGTCCTTCGTGTTAGTTATATATGCATTCTCTGCTTGAAACTTGAAGTAAATATGTGTTTGATGATAGTAGAATTAGTTTTATAATAGCAAGATATTATACCCGTAGTTATTAAGTAAATAAACACTGGTGAACAGGAAATATGAGAGAAGGTGATGAGCCCTGCCTGATGGGATCATTTACTATCACCAAATGGCCCTGTTCACCTAGTAGTAAGGGTGTACCTTAGCTATACATACCCATTTCTAATTTATTTAGTTTGGTTTTATTTTGAAATTAAATCTGGGTGAGACATAAAATAAAAATATGCTGCACAAATGATGTTAGGTAAGGAGAAGGGTAAAAATGTCAAAAACTTTATTCATTGAATACTTAAAGCTATAATTATGACTATATAGACTATTAAAAAAGAGAGAGGGAAGTAGGGGTCCAAGACCTCTTCCTGTTATACAATTTAGGTGTGGAACAAGTAATTATCAAAAGAAGGCACCATGCCGGGAAGGCTATGTAGCAGTAAGGCAGTGAGGTGAGGCAGCTACTTATTTGAGAAATGCTTATTTTATTTACCTTATAAGCTGAGGCAACTTATTTTATTTGAAGAATACTCAGCTGATTCCTCTACATTCAGCATGGAACAAATTTGTGTCCAAGACCTCTTCCTGATTCACAATTTGGCTGTGTGTAACCAAACTAGAAGTGCTCTACAAATCAAGGGACCCAGAATGTGGAATGACCTCCCGAATCATGTCAAAGGCTGTACCTCTCTCAACCAGTTTAAGAGTAAAACCAAGTACTGCCTAATTAACTCCATGTAACCTATCTTACCTCCTAAATGTAAACCCATGTCTTGCTATTTTTTAAAAATAGCAAGACACCAACATGTGCAATTGCTGATTTATGCTATGTTAACCCCCATTTTTGTATTTTTTATTCCTTCTTTCAACACAATTTATACCTAATCCCGATTACTATTATGTTTTAGTCTGTGTTTTTTCCCCCACACCTTGCCCGAAATGCTATGAGTATTAGTGGCTTTAGGTATTGTATGTACTAGCTCTGTCTATAAATCCAACATTATGTTTGTAAATGAACTGTATGTACTTTTCCTGAATAAAATGTATTTATTATTTATTTTTTAATCAGTAAGTATTAAAAGAAGGCACCAAGCTGGGAAGGCTATGTAGCACCATTGTGTGTAACAATAAACCAATTTTTTTTTAACAAACAATGCACCTGTATGGTAAAACAAATCCTGTTAGCTGTAAAAATATTGATGCAGTTATTTAAATGAAAAATATAATGAAAGATATATTACTGGTTTATTTTTATCCTATCTTTTTGTACTGTACAGTATATCCAAGGAAGTGAAAAATTGAGACATAATGCACAATTTAATGAATGATTAGCATGGATTAGCAGTTCAAAATAAATATGATTGTGACATATCGACATGAGATCTTAATGATCCATGATCTGCATGATTTAATAAGGATAATACAGTACTGTATTTGTAATAATACAAACTATAATTTAAAATCTTTATTACTGATTTTTTTTACTAAGAAGATTAGGTATACACAGCAATGTGCTGCTACCCTATTCTATATGGAATATTACACAGTGTAGATAAAAAACTAGCTATAAGTTTATCTAATACTCCCATCTCACAGGATGGTTAGACGTACAGTACTGTACATGGAATCAATTGAGAAAATACCAGCCTCAATACAAAAAACAAATCAACTCTGACTAAACAACTCCTCGCGATTTTCACAAGAGGTAAGCACTGAATCATGGAAACATTATATTATAATTACTCTTACCAGTTTCTACAAGACTCCTCTCAAACAATGTATTTTTAAACATGTTTAGGTATACACAGCAATGTGCTGCTTCCCTATTCTGTATAAAGGACCACACAGTGTAGATCAAAAACCAGCTACATGCTCATCCAACATCCTCACCTCACAGGATGGCCAGTCATACATGGAATTAGGAGAGAACAAAATACTTAATGCTGATCTATTAGCCTCCACTGGCAAAATCTGGGTGCAGCACAAGAATATCTTCCAATATTCCTGAGTGTATGAAGTAATTACAGAGCTCAAAATACCTCATACCATTTGGTATGAAGTCACTGATAACAGGGCAATCACAGATATAGTGTTGGAGAGTATGTTTCTCAAGTAGGACTGAAAACAGATGTTTTTTTCCACCAAGAGGGCTATAAACCCATGGAACCGCCTACCCGCTGAAGCCGTAAATGCCAAATTCCAGCTAAAAAATATCATTAAGACAATTGGCGGGCCCTTTAACAAGCCGCCGGCTTTCTGTCCTCTTCGAGGCCACTAGATAGTTAGTGGCCCTTGAGTAAATTCAGTAAATATATACAATAATTGTCAGCGCATCTTCCGAGCAACAAGGACAGCTACGCAGTATCTCTTAGAATTACGTAGGTAAACAACAAATGTAACATATTTGTTTACTACAATGTCGGTGCTGGCTGTAGAAGTTGAAAAAACATTGTTTTACTTCGAAATATACTAATTTTATAAGAAAATTCGACGTAAATAGGAGGCAGTAGAGCTCCGATAAACCAGCGCTAAATCTTCAATATGAAGAATGTTGCTGCTCTCTGATTGGCCAAACGAAACACAGTAGTGACCTCTATCGGCACGCAGGTGAACCAACAAATTTCTTCCTAAGTGGACGTTATTGAATCGCACCTAAGCATCTTCTTAGGGCGCACTTGGAAACCTTCGTAGCAAATCCACTTACGAAGAAATACACAGAGCTTCCTGAATCTAGGTCCTGGTCTGTTCACAGACCATTCACATGCGCCCCTGTAGTTTGTGGCGTACGGTATACTGTTGGAGGAGCTGCAAGTGGTCAGTCATCACACACACGATCCTGAAATATGTGAAGTTCGGAATACTGGGAGGAGTTGCAAGTTGTCAGTCATTACACACGTGCCCCTGTAGTATGTGGAGCACGGTATACTGTGGGAGGGGCTACAAGTGGTCGGTCCAGGCTAGAAACAACACCGGTAAAAGGGAGTGTTGTGGGGGGTAGAGGGAGCGTTGTGACGGTGGAAGGAATGTTGCACTGTGGTAGCGAGAGTTGAGGGAATAGAGTGAGTGCTGAGCTGGGGTAGTGAGGATAGAGTGAGTGTTGTGGATGGTGAGTGTTGTGGGGGTGGAGGAGTGCTGTGATGTGGTGGCAAGTGTTGTGTGGTGGTGGTGGAGTGCTGTGCTGTGGTGGTGAATGTTGTGGGGAGAGGATAGGTGGAGGAGTGCTGTACTGTGGTGACAAGTGATGTGTGAGTGGAGCAGAAGTGTTGTGATGTGGTGGTGAGAGTTGTGGGGGTG